AGCGTAGGGGGGCCTGGAATGCACCGACGCCGGCTGGAGAGGCGGGAAATGGCTTCCCCCGTGTGACAGCAGCCGGCAGGCCTGCGAGGGGGTGAGCGCCATTTTCCGCCCAGCCTGTCTGTGGCCTCCCAAGCATCATTCTTTAAACCACTAGAAGTTTTTCCAGAGCAATCATATAAGCGCGGTCCTTGTCTCCACGGACTTGCTGGCACGGAGGGTAGTTGCCTTTCCGTGAGATTTTTCACCATTCACATAGGCATACGCACCGTCGGAGCTCGCAAGTGTTTCACAACTATGCTGCCTCCACCTACCACAGCTAAAGAAATATAGTTTATTTAGAGAAGCAAAATTAAAGATACAAATTTCCGTCAGTGGGAGTGGACTGAATTTCTATTCGCTGCTAGTATATTCAACAATTCAAGTTGGGATTGCTTAATCCAAGCCAGGATTTTTGCCAAATACATGTGGAATCTATTTCATCAGAAAATTCATGGCCAGTTCTCTTCCTAAGTGGTTCCAGTTATGCGTGATGGGATCTCTGGGTATAATCACTTGAAACAGCATCTTCTTCCTTTACTGTATCTCAGGGCAGTCTGTCTTCTCCCATGTCTAGCTAATATGCCTTCTGTTACATGGTGGCTTTATATGTTTCCCTATTTTCAATTATTCTGAGGACCTTTTCTGTATCTGGGTTATCTAAGCAGCAGCAGCAATTAGTTGGATTTCTTTCCCTTGGAGCGCTGCAGTTACAGCCTGCAGAGACTGGAAGAAACCGCTTCTTGTACAAATCTGACTCATATTTGAATTGCTTCTCTGTGCTCTCTAGCCAAAAATTCAAATGTCAATAAATCAAGAAGCTAAATGAGTCCCGATACATTTTGTTAGGCACAAACAAGGGCAAACTTTACACGGGAAGAGTGAAGTTCTTACCTGTTTACTGGCAACCCTGGTTTCGTCTGAAATTCCATACCACAGCAGTACTTGCAGGGCTATATTTGCACCTGGGCCCCTCTAAGGATAGTTGCATTAACTGTCTGGTGAGCTGGCTGGGAATAGGTGTTCAGCAGAATCATCTGATACTAAATGATTACCTGCCTCAGGGTGATTCTGTTAATTTTGCCGAAACGTAAATTGATCTGACCACAGCGAATAAAGAAATTCTGCCATTCTCTCTGTGTCCCTATTCTGTCTATCCCCGAGCCCATTTCAGAGAAGTCCCTGCTGGAAGCAGAAGTCTCCTTCTGGATTTCCACCCTGCTGGGGCTGCAGGGACTTGTGTGAAGAATGCAAGCCGCTCTGCTTCCAGCAACAAAGCACATGCTCGCCAGAGAAGCAAAACTTCTGCCTATGTGCACGCTCTGCACAGCTGTGCAGTAAGGGGGAGGCTCTTGGAGGCAATATCCAATCTGTTAGATATTCCTTCACAAATCCAGGCAATGGAAGCCTGTTGGGCTTTGAGACCTCCTGTACCAGGCCTACTTTAAGAAAAAAACCAAAATGACCAAAGCTGCTTTTGCCAGATCCTGACGTTGAGCAATGAGGAACAGCTCCCTCTCTGACAGCTCCTCTCAGCTAGGAACGGCCTAGGTTTGTTATTTCAGCGTGACAAACTCTCGCCAAACTGGGGCTGTTCAAACGCTCAGTATTCTGCCAGGAAAACATCGCTTTACTCGCATTTTAATATTCAGTCTCCTTACCTTGATCCACATGGTCTTAGGAGCATTAGCCCGGATGTTAGCATGATGCCACGAGAGGTATTCATCTACCCGGGCCCGTTTTTGTATGTCTGATGGGTACCAGTGGTCGGGAGTGTTGTACTTTCGACTCAGGTACAGCAGAATGGCAGTGCTGCTCGGACATTAACAAGAGACAAGGAAGGCGTCAGGGAGTTGCGATGCAGAACGCTTTCGCCTAAGCTCCCTCTCCTGCCCCTTCTGAACTTGCTGCTTCCACTAAAAAGCATTCAGATCAGGAGCATTCAGATCAGGATTTCCAATGGAGTCTAGGGACCATACACAGGCATCTAATTCATGTTGACATCAGAGATGGCACTTAATCACCTTAGTTCCCATGAAAACTTTAACCTGCTGGAACACCACAGCGCCGTTATGTGGTGCAGAGTACTGCTGGGCAGTACCGGGGTAAAGAAACACTAAACCTCCACAATCATCTGTCAGCAATGTTAACCCCACTTGTTCCTCGACTGTTCTGACCCATCTCTCCGAGACCTCTCCATGTTTATGCGCTTCTGTACTAAACGAAACCCTCTAATGGGTTGTGTTGCCTTTTCATCAGCTCTATGCCTAGCCCGAGGCTTCCCGAAGTCAGTGGAAGTCCCAGCAAGGCGAGCCTACAGAATCTCTTTGTGTTTGTCCAGATGTTTATACTTTCACTAATCGGCAGGAGAATTCAGATGGAAAAATATCTTAGTCATCTGCAACGATCTGTAGGCTGTTACTAGAAAAAGAGATGGCACAGAAAATCCTGTGCTGACAAAACGGAAGAAAATGCAGACCCTCCCACTACGCTGACACTACTATAGTTCAACTATTTCAGTATTATGACACCATTAACCAGTCTCCATATTAATCTTATAATGTAAAACCTAAATTTTATCTCTGTAGGTGTTCACTTGTTCTTTATGACTAATTCAGATAGATAAACAGGATTTTTTCCTACGGTAAAAGGGATTTTTATAAGCTTTAAACATTTCCCAGAAATGTTTATAATCCCATTTTGAGGTAAGTGCATTCAGGGTAAGATCAAGAAGTTAAGTCAGCTGATTTGTTTACATACTGAAAGATAATTCAAACAGAAAATGGAAACAGAGCAAATGAGGTTATACTGTTACAAATAACCAACATGTTCATAAATTCTGTGATCCTTAATCGTTCAGCGGGAATGACGTCTCCTAAATGCTGCACAGATTACTGGTACCCGAGGAAGTCTGAGTTCTTACCATTCTGCTAGGGTGAAGTCTCCATCCTTTAGTGCCGGTACTTTCTTCAAGAGGCTGACTTTGCCAGCTCCTTCGCTGTTTGATGGCCCTAAGAACGTGAGCAGACAAGTCAGAGGTCAAAAGTGTATCTGCCAGTGAATGAGACATGAAATACCTGTAGCCAACTGGACAATCGGTGAACTGTGTTAGGTTTTCCCTAGGCGGTCACATTTCACAATTAAAAGGCAATGAAATCGAAGAGTTGGTGTAAAAGCTATCTGCAGAGGGCAGTCGGCTCAGGCCGCGCACGTGGCGTGGAGCAGTTCGCATTTCTATACAGGAATTCCATCGCTTGGCTCTGGTACCAGTAATACTTGGCAAAACCTACTGAAAAATCACTCCCTAGGAGGCATTTAGATACCACGCTGAAGGTGCCGGTATTGAAAACACTATGGCAGGTAAGCAGGAACAGCTAACGGACTTGAGAACAGTGTGTCCTACGGCTTTAGAGACAGTGGGGAAAAAGACAGGAGTTAGGATGAAGACAACTGAGCAGCTAAAAAATACTTAATATTTGCCCAGGAAGCGGGGTCTGGAAAAGTTGAGTTTGCGTGCAGAGCATCCTGAGGAGGGCAGATGGTTGCTACTCCTGCTCCTGTTCCCGCAGGCAACACCAAAACAAAGTCATTTTCCTGCAGTTTGCACACGTGGCTGACTCTGCCTAGGATGGAGTCGTGATGGAAAGCAACTGAAAAGCCTTGTGCCCACAGAGATCGCTGCAGCGGCTAACTCATCAAAGGGAACCCGGCTGGCTTACAGACACGGAGCAAAATCTTTTTCCTGTTTGTTTGTTTCTGAAGAGCAGAGGGAACTGAGCATTTACAGAGAAAGCAAATGCTGTCAACAGCGCTGATGCCTCGGCAGACACACAGCTGAGGATGTTTCCAGAGTTTTTGCTGGGATGGGAAAAACACGAATGTCAGCACTACAACAGCAGGCTCATGAAATAATTCCTTCTGCCACAGTGGACATTTGCTAGGGGTAGGGAGGCTCCCACACCTCCACCCTGCGTTACTCCTGGCTCTGCACGTCAACCTACCTCGCAGGAAAACGCAGGAGGAAGACACCGTCCCATGAAAGAGTTTAAACTCCACAGGCCCTTGGAGTTCGGAGGCATTAGCAGCTGACTATCTAATCGGGCTTTCAGTGTCCCACTGCAGGCACTGGACTTGCCAGTCAGCAGTTAAATGCCAGGGAATCGTACAAAAGTCCAGGAACACCTACGTAAGAAAAGGTGTGAGGAGTTTGTTTGCTTTGCTTGTTTTAAGTGCTCTCTATAAGGAAACACATGACATTCCGGGGTGCAAATCCTGATCAAATCAGCACGACCAGCAGGAGGTCTTGTACAAAAATCCCTTTGTTAAAAAAAAATCAGGGCCATTCACTAACAGACAGCGGCCTGCAGCCCCAAGAGCTACTCGCCCCCATTCAGGAGGCAGTGGCAGCCTCTGCTTTCCTGGACAAAAGCGCAGCAGGAAATAGTCCCCAAGAAATAAAACCGGCCTTTGGACTATGAAGTTTATTTGCGGTTGGCTTTGAGAAGGGGTAGGAGAAAGGAAGGTCACTGCATTACAAATTACAGACTACTTTTCCAATATTGATTTCACCCAGTGAGACAAATGAAGCAGAGCAAACATTACCACCCTCTTCTCCTTTCTAGCTGACTAGCCTCTACCTTGTTTCTTCTCTGAGAAGTGCTCTTTTAAATTCTGGTGTAAGTAGCTTCACTGGAGATTAAGGTTCACGTCCATCTGCCGACTGAGGGGATTCAAACCCAGGTCTCCCATCTCACTGGGAAACCTGGCTACCTGTGGCGACGGTGGCCTCCAGCTTAGCTGGGTAAGGGGTCCCACATGCACGGCAGAACCAGGCAGCACTGTCAGGAGAGGGAGGAGGAAAGGGCTTCTCAAGAATAAGAGTGAGACATAAAGTGCAAGTTAAGTTAAGCCTAATGATTGAGAAACTTGAATATAAAAAAAAAAAAAATCCCTGAAAATCAAGCCAGCAGGCAAAGGACAAGGACAAGGTGCCTTACGCCCATGATTTATATAATAAAAACAGTGATGCAAATTTGTGTAAATCTACTGCCATGCAAGGAGTTGCTCTGGGAAGGTGCTTGGTCCTCTGCTTTTGGAAGGGCTCCAAAGGCCAGTAGGCATCACACGCCCAGCTCTGGTGAGATCTGGAGAGTCCAGGGGGTCTTTGGAAAAATGCAGCAGGAAGTTGCAAGCCAATAATGCTTACAGCTAACGAGCAGCCAATTCTCAGACCTAGCTGTCTGGTCGTTCTGCTGTGTTTATTACCGAAGGCAGAGGGCAACTGAGAAACGACGGTATGAGAAGCAGTGGGTGAGGGCAACCCGAATCAGATTTCAGCCTGCTTTCATCGTGCAGCAGTCCTAGCAGGAACACCGAACATATTAGTCCCCTGATGGGACTAACACGTCATCACAACAGGTTGGACAGTAGGCCAGCGTCTGCTACACAGACCGCGCCGCAGCCCGGCGATGGCACCTCGTTTGCTTTGGCTCGTACAGGGTCTCTGCGTACAGACACAGGAGATCTGTGCCGAGACTCTGCCTCCGAGCTGCAAACTGATACGAGCCTTGGTGTGAACATTAACTCCAGGCTGCTTCACTAGGACCGATTGCTTATTGTATTAAAATGGAGACCGATATTTGTATCTGCCGTTTAGCAGAGCTTAAGCTTGTGCCTCTCTTCCAGCAAGCAGAGCTAGCCTTTTTGTTTAGTGGTATTAGGTGGCCCATCTTTATCATTCCTGTAATGTTGACTTGACTTACGGTGCTGTTTAACGTCAGTTGCATCTGGTGTAGCTAGTTCTTGATGTCCCCCAAGGAGATATATACACACACCGTGCGTATTGCTGGGCTTTGAGGAATAACTTTCATAAGCAGAGTATACACTGTCAACGAGCAGGGCAGGCTGCACACAAGAGGAATTCTTAAGTGTAAGTCATAGTGCAGAGAAGGAGATTTACTGGTGGGTAAAAAGAGCAGCGGGCAAGATTTTACAGAAGTAGAAAGGGGAAAAAAATCAGTCTATTTGCCAATCACATCCCTACCTAATCATAAGTAACAATTTACTAGGAAAATGCAATATGTAAATGGGCAGTAGTCGTCTTACACAGTTGGACAAGTCTGAACAGCTGAGTGTTTCTGCTAAGTACACCGTTCCCAGAGCACTCCTCGGCTGCCACTGTGACTAATTTGCTAGAAATGGCTGGAGGAACATTCCTTGGGGATCCACAAAAATAGATGCAGCACAGCTATGAGACCGCTCAGGGGAGAAGAGCTGCATGGTCAAACCATCGCACTCCGGCCCCTCGGCACAGCACGTATCTAAAATCGCTCGGGTCCCCCGAGGAGCTCGTCCTTCCCTCCCCACGGGCCAAGCAGAGCTCCCGGGCGCTGGGAGCAGGATCAGCTCTGATGTGCAGCTCTGGGCAGCCTTGAGCTGTTCCACCCTCCCCAGGCAGGATGGGACCCTGTCCGGAGAGGCCACCGGGTGAGACCACCGCCAAGCCCCTGAGCTCTGCACCTCCGCAAACGGGCGGTCCCCCGCTTCCGCTGCCTCCAGCGTTTCCTCCTTCGGCTGAGGCTGAGCCTCCCCGGGCGTGGGCTGACGAGGCCTCAGCAGGGAGAGGGCCCTTGCACCGCTATGGATCTGGGAGGGACCGAACCGACCTTCCCTACAGAAGGGTCCAAGGCAGCGCCCCGGCTCGTCCGTTCCCGGACAAGCGGCAGCTCGGTGCGAGGAGGCGCCGGGACCCGGCCGGAGCGGCGGCGGCCGGCCAGGGCTTCAGCTGCTCCCCCGGGGCGGCGAGGG